GATGAGATGAGTTCTTCTGAAGAAAACTCAGACAGCGGAGGCAGCAATGACACACTCACTGAACACTCCGCTAAGAGGCTGGCAGCTGAAGAACCCAATGTCTTGTCAGACTCGGAGGATCCAAAGACCGACTCGGACATGGAAGTGGCGGGTGAGGGAGAAATACCTACAAGTGCGAGGGGACACTCTGTAGGCCTCGCGCAAGCGAAAAAGTACCTCAAACGCTTCAACACCAACGTGGCTGGTGATATAGAGTATGAGAAAGAGATGTACGGCACCTCTGACTCTGAGGTAGACTGGAACTCCATGCCGAAGGCTCCGCCTACCTCAATGAAGGAGATTCACAAAATCGGGATGGAGCAAGTCAGAAACATTCTGACCAGCGCCCGTAAGTGTGGTAACATAAAGGGTACAATATGGAGGCAGTTTAATGATGCCGCCACCTCACTAGGCGCCCTCCTTAACCAGGCCCTAAACATCACAACTAATGACGAGCTGTCTACCCTCAGGGCAGACAACAAAAGATTGGGGGAGGAGCTCAATCATCTGCGAGCGGAGGTGGCCGCTCTACGGAAAGCCAGAGAGGAGGGCGACAAAACCGTAAAAGCGGTCAAAGCCAAATATAAAACGGCTGAGATAAGGCACGAGCTTATCCCTGATGCTAGACACGGCGAACACCAGAACAGAGAGGGTGCCAACGAGAACAACATCGACGAGAACTCGGAGCTTTCCTCCGTTAAAGTGGGTCAGCTACAGAACTTCCTGTTGGGCTCGCTCAGAACAATGCTCGATGCCAAATTGGAAGGTATCGAGGATCGCTTGCTTCCGGCTAAAAATCTGCGTCCCCCCCTGGCAGCAGATAAAAAGTCGACTGAGGTTGGAAAGCACGTGGGCGGCACCCCAGCGCCTTCCCAAACAGGCAAAGCAGGAGGCTCGACTGCTAAAAAGGCCCCCAAAAAGAAGGGTGCGAAGACAAAAGCTGCGATACAGAGCGGCGCGGCGAAGGAGGAGCGACCTAAAGGTCCTGTAAATGGCAGTAAAGGTGATCAAAAACCCTCAAAACTGCATAATAAGCTGGATAAGGCCCAAGCTGCACCACCTGTCTCTCCCCCAGAGAAGGTAGGTCAAATGCAGAATCAGGAGCTGCTTCACTCGCGAGAGGTGCACAACCCCGTGGACAATGGGCAACAGTGGTCAGAGGTAGTTCGTAAAGGGAAGAAGAAAAAGACACCTCCGGCGTCAGTTCCTTCTCCTCATCCCTCCTCTTCCCAACAAACAGGAGGGCGCAAACCTCCCTCTGGCAAGGCCCCTCTCCCTGACAAGAAACCCAAACCACCAAGGAAGCGCAAACTTAGGGTGCCAAAAACTTCGGTGGTCATCATCGACATTCCAGTGGAGGATGATGCTACCGATGCGACTTACGCCAAAGCCATCGCAAAAGCCAGGAGGGAGATCAACCTCACCAATCTAGGCATTGACCCTAGGGGTCTTAAGATAAGCCGGACAGCAACAGGTGCTCGCAAGTATGAGCTACCGAAAACGGTCGGCGAGGACAAAATTGACCAGTTCAGTACTCAACTGTCCGCGGTTCTCGAGGGTATTGCAAAAGTCTCCAGGCCTGTCAAATGCACTGATGTGCGTATCACGGGCCTGGATGACTCAGTCTCACCAGAGGAAATTATGGAGGAGATTGCCTCCCAAGGCGGTTGCAAAGCCGAACAGACAAAAGTGGGTGCCCTCCGCCCAGGTCCGGGTGGTCTATTTGTGACCATTGCCCGCTGCCCCATTGAAGCGGCAAAGAAACTGGCAGAATCGGGGAGGCTGCTGGTAGGCTGGAGCTGTGCCCGCGTTCAGTTACTAGAGCCCTCGCCCATGAGGTGCTTTAAATGTATGAACGCGGGGCATACAAGGAGAACCTGCCCCTGCGACGTAGATCGCAGCGATGTCTGCTTCAGGTGTGGCTCCCCGGGCCACAAAGCAGCATCCTGCTCAGCCTCACCGAAGTGCCTAATCTGCATGGACGCAAAACGCCCACACAACCACAAAATGGGCGGCAGAAGCTGTTCTGCAACCAAGATAAGGCCCTCCCAACCTCAATGGCGCAGAGCAAACAGTAAGACGGCAGAGCTGACAACAGCTATGGAGGTAGTTCACACACCATCCAATGGATAGTACAACCGTGAACTTCCTCCAAAGCAATGCCAATCATTGCGCGGCCGCACAGGACCTAATCCTACAAAGCGCCGCCAATGAAAGGGCAGATATGGTCGTCTTCTCCGAACCATACTTCGTTCCGGCATCCAGGAACTGGATAGCGGATACCGATGGCTCGGTAGTCATAGTGACCCCTACCACAGCTGCGTTCTCCCCCCCATTCACTTTAAGAGAAAAGGGCTCAGGATACGTAGCTATAATGTGGGGAGGGGTCACTATCATTGGGGTATACTTCTCCCCCACCCGTCCTTTCAGAGAATACGAGAGATGGGTGGACATGATGTCGGAAGTAGTGGGCAGACTTTCGACACGTCACATGTTGATACTGGGGGACTTCAATGCCAAACACACGGCTTGGGGTTCCCCCAGTAACTCACCAGAGGGTGAACTTGTCTTGGACTGGGCGACAGCCTCCGGCCTAGAAGTTCTGAACAGGGGCTCGAACTTCACTTTTGTCAGGAGGTGGATGGGCCGCACAGTGGGGTCAATCGTTGACCTAACGTTTGCGACCCCAGAACTGGCTAGAAGAGTAAACGGCTGGGAGGTTCTCACGGAGGAGGAGACACTATCGGACCATACCTATATTCGATTTAAGATCTCCCCTCCGATGAGAGCCAATCACAACAGCCCTCCGGGAACGAATAACCTTAGCTTTCCGAGATGGTCGCAAGCTAAGCTGGATGTTGACATGGCCAATGAATCCTCCATTTTGCAGGCGTGGATTCTCGACACAGTAATGGAGAACGGAGACACAGAAGTTCTGGCGGATAGGGTGGAGGAAGCGCTCACCGCAATCTGCAATGCTTCAATGCCTCGCTCAAATGGACCCGTTAGGCGAACCCAGGTCTATTGGTGGACTGGGGAGTTAGACACCCTAAGAAAAAGATGCATGCAGAGGAGGAGAGCGCTACTCCGAAACCATCGCAGAAGGCGGGCCGATCCAGAAGAGGAAAGTACACTCAAGAGAGAGTATGCAAGTTCCAAAAAGGAACTTAAAGAGGCCATCTGTCGTGCGAAAACAACAGCCTGGGAGGAGTTCATCGGGGACCTAAACAGGGATCCATGGGGGCGCCCCTATAAACTTATTAGGAATCGCCTTAAACACCATCCACCCTCCACGGAGAACATGGACCCCGAGCTCCTCCGCAGGGTAATTTCAACCCTCTTCCCATCTGAGCCTCCAGTGACGGACTCTGTCCTCCGTCCCGTAGATCGGTCTCATCTTCGGAGCAGGGAATTGATTACAGGAGGCTCAGACATCCCCCCGGTCACGGACGGGGAGATGGACTGTATGATGGAGAGGCTAAGACTCAAGAAGAAGGCTCCGGGTCCCGACGGAGTCCCGGGTAAAGTCCTCTTGATTGCAATGAAGCACCTAGGACCCCACTTCAGGGCTCTCATGGACGACTGCCTCGTTCATAGAAAGTTTCCTAGGTGCTGGAAACGCGGCAGACTGGTGCTGTTGTGCAAGGAAGGCAAGCCTGCAGACTCCCCGTCGGGATATCGCCCGGTGGTCCTTCTTAACGATGTCTGCAAGCTCTATGAAAGAGTTATCGCAGACCGCATTGTGAGTCATTTGGAGAATTCGGGACCCGACTTGTCCGATAAACAGTTCGGGTTTAGGAGACAGAGGTCCACAGTTGACGCGATTTTAGCGCTCAAGGGTGAGAGTGACAAGGCAACTGGACGGGGAGAGGTCATGGTAGCGGTTTCTCTCGATATCCGCAATGCCTTTAACTCTCTCCCCTACCAGTGCATAAAGGACGCCTTGGTGTTCCATAGAATCCCGGACTACTTGGCCAAAATTGTGGAGGACTACTTGTCGGATAGAAGGGTTTTGTACACCGGGAACTCGGGACAAATCGTCTCTAGGAGAATGGCTTGCGGTGTTCCACAGGGGTCGGTGTTGGGGCCGCTCCTGTGGAACCTCGGGTATGACTGGGTGCTCCGCGGCACGCTCCTTCCCCGCATGAGTATATTCTGCTATGCAGATGATACTCTAATTACAGCGAGGGGAAGGAACCTTAGAGCTGCGAAGCACCTAGCTGAAGCCGGCACTGATCTTGTCATCCATCGCATAAGAAGGCTAGGTCTCGAGGTAGCCGTGGACAAGACTGAGGTGATCCTGTTTCACGGCCCACGCAGAGGACCTCCGGCAAACACGACGATGAGAATAGAAGGGGAGCCCATCGCTTTTAGACAGCATATCAAGTATTTGGGCCTACTGCTAGATGGGAGATGGAGCTTCACCCATCACTTCAAGCAGCTAGCGCCTAAACTTGAAAA